CCTAAGCCCCTCCTAAAGGTTGGTGAGCCTTCGCTCTTTCCTCGTCGACTGGAGTCAGTCAGTCGTCGTCAGTCAGTCATTTTTGTAAGTCATTCGTCTCCTGAGGTTAGCCCCGAGTCCGTGCTTGACTCTGGCCACCTCAATCGACAGGCTTCTTTTTGTCCACCCGTTGTACACGGGCTGTTCTTTCCCCTCTTGGGTGTACAACTATTGTCGGTCTTCTCCCCTTTTCTTTGGCCTCATCAGCTGCTAGGGCCAAATATCTTCTTGTTGCAGCTGGCTTTTCGGTCTTTTGTGACGCCTTATTGTTCTTGGGTCGTAATCCAAGGCGTCTCTAATCAGCACGTTTCGATGTCTTTCGTTCTTTTCAAAGAACTTTCGGGCCCTCTCTTTCATCTGGATTACGACCGGTACCTGTCGTAGTTCGTCATATAGCACTCTGTTAGGTACATACCACGGTGCGTCCACCGCTTCACGGAGTGCCATGTTTTGTTGAGCTTGGAGCCTCTTCTTCATCGTTTTGGAAACGTAGCCCCAAGCTACTGCTGCGTAAGTCATGATTTGTAGCAGCACCATCTGAATCATGATGGTCTTATTCTTTAGTGACACTTTGCTTCTTCTGCCCGTTAAGGGTCTTAGTTTGGAGCGTGCCATCTTCACTTTCTGCACCCGGTCTTCGACATGGTTCTTCCAAGTGAGTTTCTGGTCCATCTTGACTCCAAGGTATGTGCTGGAGTCTTTCCAGTCGACCTCAACCTCTTCATCTCTTCTCCAGCCTCTCTCCATTCTGGTGGTCGTCATCTTTATTTTGGTCTGAGGTAATCTTCGATTTCTTCGGAACAGTACCGCTTCGGTCTTCTCGGGGTTGAGGCGGATCTTCCACTTGATGCACCATTCCTCTAGGTTGGTGGTCGCTCGTTGCAGATATTCCGTAACCATGCGGGGTCTCGTACTTTCTGCCGCATATGCTGTATCGTCCGCATACACATACAGTTGCGTTTGAGGAGTCTTCGGGATGTCCGAGCTGTAGATTGCATACAGCAGGGGTGATAGAACCGCTCCCTGCGGTACTCCTGCCTCCACAGTCCTCGTCGTCGAAGTTGTTTTACCGATCCTAATTCGGAATTTTCGGTGCTTCAAGTAGGACTTCACCAGTTGGATCATCCCCTTTGAGTATCCGAGGTCTACCATCTTGTAGATCAGTCCGTCATGCCAAACAGTGTCGAACGCCTTTGCGGCATCCATGAACACAGCTCCCACGGCCCGCCGAGTCTGGAACGATTTCGTTGCCATCTCGACCAGCCTTAGGACCTGGTGCTCTGCTGAATGCTCGCATCGGAATCCGAACTGTTCGTCTGGAACTACTCGGAGTTCTTCGGTTTCGTTCTTCAGTCTTCGTTCGATTACCCTTTCCGCAATCTTGCTCAATGCCGTCAACAGGCTTATGGGTCTGTAGTTTTGGGGGAACCTTGGGTCTTTCCCAGGTTTAGGTATGTTGATCACCTCGGCTACTTTCCAGTGATCTGGAAAGTACCGGTGTCTCAGTATGGCGTTGACAATGTTGGTAATTGCCATTATCGTTTTCCTCGGGAGTCTCTTCAGGACTCTGTTCCCAATTTCGTCTACACCCGGTGCTTTCTTCACCTTGAGTCTTTCGATGATTTCCCTTACCTCGCCTGGAGAGGTCATGTCTTCGATGGCTCTTCCTCCTCTGACAGCTCTCCTCGATCTTCTCATCACCTCGTCGATGAAGTCTTCGTCTTCATCGGGGTGAGTATTGAGAGTACACTGTCTCTGAAGGTTGTCAGCAAAAGCTTCTGCCTTCTCTTCGGTTGTGTACACCATCCCCTGTTCGCTGTGTATTGGGGGGATGGGCTGTCTTCTGTTTCTGAGGATTTTAGCCAAGTTCCACATTCCTGGGTCAGCTGGAGATAGTTCGTCGAGTTTCTTATCCCAGGTGCTCTGATGGTGCTGCTTCAAGGCGTCTCGTGCCTGTCTCGTAAGTCTGTTTGCCACCATGATGTCCGTGGGGCTTCTGGTCTCCTGGGCTACTCTTCGGGCTCTGTTTCTTTCGGTGATCTTGCGATTTACCTCGTCAGGTAGGTCCCTGAACCTGTTTGGTTGCGTTATGTCTTCCACGGTGGTTGCGGCTTCTAACGCAGCCTTAATCTTCCTTTCTAGGTCCGTGACCGCTTCTTCTATGCCTTCGGGGCTTTCGATCTGTAGTAGTGGTCCTTGTGAATAGTGCAGTCTGGTTCTAAACCGCTGCCAATTCACTCTCTTCACTGTTCTTTGTTCCACAGGTGTTATCCCATCTCCCATACAGAGAAAGATGGGGTTGTGGTCTGAGCTTCCCTCTTGCATGGCGCCGATGGTGGTGCGCATGTCGATTTCCTTCAGAATCGCCATATCTATGACGTCTGGTCTACCTCCGTTGCTGGGGTATATTGTAGGTTCGTCCGGACCTATCATGGTATATCCAGGTTCATCCATTAGTCTTTCCAGAACAGCGCCGTGACTGTTTCTGTTTCTTGAGCCCCAAATGGTGGACTTCGCGTTTAGATCACCTACGATCACGGTACTGTTTCCCAGTGCAGTGATACAGGTGACATCTTCCAGATATATCGTCGATGTGGGTGGTACGTACATCGAAACGATGTTCAGAGGGCCGTGGTCTGTTGTGCGTACCGTCACTCCTACGGCCTCTGCTGATCTTAGTTCTGGCAGTCCCATTTCCCAGTGGGTAATGCTGGTCTTGACAGCAAGTAGCACCCCACCTCCGGTTCTGTTCCGGTCCTTTCTGTATGTCGTGTATCCCTGTATCGTCCAGTGTGGGATTTCCCCAGAGAGCCACGTTTCTTGTAATGCCATTACATCATAGTTTCCTTTTGTTAGGACTTCGCCTATCTCATATTTCTTGTTGGAGACGCTGTGGACGTTCCAACTCAATATCTTCAGGCCCCTATTTGCAATGGTTATTGGAGTGCCCATTTGGAGTTTTGGTCAGTGCTTCCCTCTGTTTAGGCGTATTTTTGCTCCAGATGAGCGAAATACGCCTTTTTGGCCGCCGGGTTCTTCATCACCAGTGACATCATTTGTGATGCGTGCTTGGTGGCGAAATCGGTCAACTCCTCGACGTCGCTGTCTTTGGCACTGCTGGCCTGAGCGACTGGGGCCACTTTAGTTGCCCCAGCTGTCGTCGACGCATAACTACGGCCCTCCTGGACTGGACTAGGCCTAGTTATGGTTTTGGGTGCTGGCGCTGCTCGCGCTGCGCCCCTTGGTGCCGTCTTTTTGTCCCTTGGCCCTGCACTCGGCCTCTTTGGGCATCCTCCAAAGTTTGCGGGATGCTCTCCCCCGCAGTTGATACATTTCGCGGGTTTTTCATTTGGGACCTTGCAGTCCGCCGCTCTGTGTTTTCCTGCGCATCTGACGCAGCGCGGCTCTCCCGTGCAGTTCATCTGGCTGTGGCCAAATTGTTGGCATCGGTAGCACTGACCTGGTCCTGTCTTCTTCTTTAGTGCCTCCACTTGGATCACCATGTGGCAAACGGCGTTTATTTTGTAGATCCCCGTCTCTTCCTTCGGGAGATCTACTTTTACCAGCGGTATGGTTTTTCCAGTCCTCCTGCTGGTCATCCTGTTCACCGTCTTTGGGTGGAAGCCTTGCCTGGCCAAGTCTTCTGCGATCTCTTGGCAGGTGGTTATTCTCGGTATTCCCCTTATTACCACTCCCAGTGGCTTATCTTCCGGTAGGGAGTAGGTATGATGCTCTATCTTAGCATCTTCGAGCGTTTTGCGGATCTTTCTATAGTCATCGCTGTCCTTCGGCTGGACTTTAATGCCTACTCCGGTTAGCCGTGCAGGCTTTTCAATTGTGAGCAACTTCTTGCTCACTACCTCTTTCCACTGTTCTTCCCTATGGATGTACAGTGGTGGGGGCCTCTTTTCCTTTTTCTTGTTTCCCTCCGTCGAGGGTTTGGGCGTGGAGGACTGGTCCATCTTTTCCACTTCGGCCGGGGTCTTAGTTGCCGATGTGGACGCTTGCTCGTGTTTGAGTGCCTTTTTCCTGGGGGCTTCTTCTTTCTTGCCTTCATCTGAGGAGGTACTATGCCTCCTCTTCTCTTTCTTTTGGCTCTGAGCCTTTTCCTTGGGGGCATCGATCTCGATGCCCTGTTTTGCTGCCAGTTTCTCAATCAGCCTGGCAGTTCTTTCGCGCTCTTCGGCGCTTGCCCTTCTTTCTTCTATCAGCTGGCGGGTTAGATCCGTCAGCTGGCAAGATAGCTCGGCTATCTGCTTCTTAAGGGCGTCATTCTCTTTTCTCAGTTTACTGAGAAAGCCCCCTTCTCGGTCACCCTCTTCGTCTTCGCTGGACGATGAGTAGACGTTCTCTTCGTCGTCCAGCATTTTCTCCACGGTTTTGAGCGTGTCCCGCTCTACCTCGCTCTCCTCGTCCGACATTTCTCCTTCGCTGTCGACTTTTCGCAAAGTTCGACTTTTACACAATTTCCAGTTGTGCCGCGCGCGCTGGAAATTGTGTAATTTTTGTGCACTGGTGCCCTTTCGGGCTCACTGCACTTCGCGGGTTTTTGTTTGCGTCCTTTTTCGCGATGTTCCCCTTTTACACAATTTCCGACGAGTGGAAACTGTGTAAAGGTTTTTCGGTACGCCCGATTTAGGCTTTGCCTTTGGGTGGGCGTCACCCTCGCGTGCCGGCGCTTGTTCCGCGTCTCCGCGCGTCGGTCGCGTCTCGGTCGCGCGCGTGTCGCGTGGTCGCTTGTCGCGTGGTCGCGTGTCGCGTGGTCGCGTGTCGCGTGGTCGTGTGTCGCGTTCGGTCTCACTATCCTCGGCGTGGTTCACTGGTCGGCTGCTGCACTGCGAATCGTGAGCGAGCGGATGGTTCTGAAAAGAACCGTTTTTTTTTTTTTTTATAACCTATTATCGCACGCCGTACTCTCTCTCTCTCTCTCTTTCCGGCAAATAGTAAATCCGTCAATTCCATTAGGCACGTTCGCCCCTAATACGTCTTGCCAGCTGTATATCTTTCGGCATGATCGTTACTCGCTTAGCGTGGATCGCGCACAAGTTCGTATCCTCGAATAGTCCGACCAGGTACGCTTCGCTAGCTTCTTGGAGTGCCATTACAGCAGAACTTTGGAATCGCAAATCGGTCTTGAAATCTTGCGCTATTTCACGGACCAGCCGTTGGAAAGGCAATTTTCTGATCAACAATTCGGTACTTTTCTGATAACGACGAATTTCTCTGAGAGCCACAGTTCCCGGACGATAACGGTGAGGTTTCTTAACTCCGCCAGTAGCAGGAGCACTTTTACGGGCAGCCTTCGTGGCTAATTGCTTCCTGGGAGCTTTACCTCCGGTGGATTTACGAGCCGTCTGCTTGGTACGCGCCATTACGTTAAATTTCAGATAACTGAATATAAATTATCTATATAGCAGCGACGTGAATATTGCAACGGACAATATTATAGTGAGCGGAGGTAAACACCGCGAACAGTTATATTTATATGGGCTCGAAATACGAAACAGTCTGATTGGCCAATTGATAGACCAATAGGAGGGACGACAACGCTAACAAAACCGGGCGTCACGAGAGACGTACCGTCAGTTGGCAACAGCCCGTTCGCTTTAACAGTTCGACGTGCGAGAGAATCTTGAAAAATGACTGGACGCGGTAAAGGTGGTAAAGGATTGGGAAAAGGAGGAGCGAAAAGGCATCGTAAAGTTTTGAGGGATAACATCCAGGGAATTACGAAACCGGCCATAAGAAGATTGGCGCGACGTGGAGGAGTAAAACGTATATCCGGATTGATTTACGAAGAAACTCGAGGAGTGCTCAAAGTCTTTTTAGAGAACGTAATCAGGGATGCAGTCACTTACACCGAGCACGCTAAAAGGAAGACAGTCACTGCAATGGACGTCGTATATGCATTAAAGAGACAAGGACGCACTTTGTACGGATTCGGTGGTTAAACACTCCGCAGCAATTACCACGGTACAGGTTGAACGAAAATACAATACAAAGAAAAAAAAAAACGGTTCTTTTCAGAACCACCATATACTCTCGTGAGAAAGAATGGATCTGCCGATTGAACCGCCACATTAATTTTCTATTTTTTTTATACAAAATAAAAAGAAACACTCACATAAATGAGTTTATCGGAATATGAGAAATTGATCGACTTATACGTTTTGGCTCTTTGAATTACAATAATCGACGATTTCGGTCCCGATATGTCCCATTATCGAGATACCGGCGAATATTAGACGTGAATGCGACGATGAGATGCCTCGATTAAATAATTTAGTTATTGCCAACTTCTCGCGCCACAACCGATCCGATATCACCCTGAGAAAATTTTTCCATATACAAATGATAATCCCTTCATTTTCTTATTAAATTACTTGTTGGCCCTGAGAAGGGCCGATTGTATGTTCAGAAGATTTTTTTTTTTAGGCTTTCTTCTCCGTCTTTTTCGGCAAAAGAACAGCTTGGATATTAGGGAGAACTCCTCCTTGGGCAATTGTGACGCCTGAAAGCAATTTGTTCAATTCTTCGTCGTTTCTGATGGCCAATTGCAGATGACGTGGAATAATACGGGTCTTTTTATTGTCGCGAGCAGCGTTGCCTGCCAATTCCAAAACTTCAGCGGCCAAGTATTCCATAACGGCCGCTAGATATACGGGAGCTCCGGCACCGACGCGTTCAGCATAATTCCCTTTTCGCAATAACCTGTGGATACGACCGACGGGAAATTGTAGGCCGGCCCTGCTGGATCGGGACTTTGCCTTTCCCTTAACTTTACCGCCTTTTCCGCGTCCTGACATATTCAATTTGTTAATCTGCTAAACGAACGACGTCGACTATGAACTTGCAAATGCACAACATGATCTCCGCGAACGTTGTATTTATATGAACTAACCGACCAATCGACGCGAACGTTTGCCGGCAAACGCCTGGGGGCGGAGTCTACGGTCGTAACGTCACCTGTCTTAAATACGGCCAGAGAATTGCAGTCGTTCCGTTAGTCGAGCGTTGGTGTCGATTATACTCAGCATCATCTCACAATAAAATGCCACCCAAAACTAGCGGTAAGGCTGCCAAAAAAGCGGGCAAGGCGCAGAAGAATATCTCAAAATCTGACAAGAAAAAGAAGCGCAGGAGGAAGGAAAGTTACGCAATTTACATCTACAAAGTACTGAAGCAGGTACATCCCGATACGGGTATATCCAGCAAAGCGATGAGCATCATGAACAGCTTCGTCAACGATATTTTCGAACGTATCGCTGCGGAAGCTTCCAGATTGGCACATTACAACAAACGTGCCACGATAACTAGCAGAGAAATTCAGACAGCCGTACGACTATTGCTACCGGGAGAATTGGCCAAGCACGCAGTCAGCGAAGGTACCAAAGCCGTCACCAAGTACACCAGTTCAAAATAATATAGACGTTGTATTCGCTTCGACGGTTATACGGTTCGAAAAATAAGAACAAAAAAAAAACGGTTCTTTTCAGAACCACTATGTTATGATAAAATGCAAAATGATAATTAGCTGTGGTCGTTATTTTAATCTTTTCATCTATCTCTCTCTCTCTCTCTCTCGCTCTCTCTCTCTCTCTCTCTCTCTCTATATATATATATATATATATATATATATATATATATATATATATATATATATATATATATATATATATATATATATATATGTATAGAAGAAGTCCGTAATATCTGGAAGATGTCACCTGTATCACTGCACTGGGAAACAGTACCGTGATCGTAGGTGATCTAAACGCGAAGTCCACCATTTGGGGCTCAAGAAACAGAAACAGTCACGGCGCTGTTCTGGAAAGACTAATGGATGAACCTGGATATACCATGATAGGTCCGGACGAACCTACAATATACCCCAGCAACGGAGGTAGACCAGACGTCATAGATATGGCGATTCTGAAGGAAATCGACATGCGCACCACCATCGGCGCCATGCAAGAGGGAAGCTCAGACCACAACCCCATCTTTCTCTGTACGGGAGATGGGATAACACCTGTGGAACAAAGAACAGTGAAGAGAGTGAATTGGCAGCGGTTTAGAACCAGACTGCACTATTCACAAGGACCACTACTACAGATCGAAAGCCCCGAAAGCATAGAAGAAGCGGTCACGGACCTAGAAAGGAAGATTAAGGCTGCGTTAGAAGCCGCAACCACCGTGGAAGACATAACGCAACCAAACAGGTTCAGGGACCTACCTGACGAGGTAAATCGCAAGATCACCGAAAGAAACAGAGCCCGAAGAGTAGCCCAGGAGACCAGAAGCCCCACTGACATCATGGTGGCAAACAGACTTATGAGACAGGCACGAGACGCCTTGAAGCAGCACCATCAGAGCACCTGGGATAAGAAACTCGACGAACTATCTCCAGCTGACCCAGGAATGTGGAACTTGGCTAAAATCCTCAGAAATAGAAGACAGCCCATCCCCCCAATACACAGCGAACAGGGGATGGTGTACACAACCGAAGAGAAGGCGGAAGCTTTTGCTGACAACCTTCAGAGACAGTGTACTCTCAATACTCACCCCGATGAAGACGAAGACTTCATCGACGAGGTGATGAGAAGATCGAGGAGAGCTGTCAGAGGAGGAAGAGCCATCGAAGACATGCCCTCTCCAGGCGAGGTAAGGGAAATCATCGAAAGACTCAAGGTGAAGAAGGCACCGGGTGTAGACGATATTGGGAACAGAGTCCTGAAGAGACTCCCGAGGAAAGCGATAATGGCAATTACCAACATCGTCAACGCCATACTGAGACACCGGTACTTTCCAGATCACTGGAAAGTAGCCGAGGTGATCAACATTCCTAAACCTGGGAAAGACCCAAGGTTCCCCCAAAACTACAGACCCATAAGCCTGTTGACGGCACTGAGCAAGATTGCGGAAAGGGTAATCGAACGAAGACTGAAGAACGAAACCGAAGAACTCCGAGTAGTTCCAGACGAACAGTTCGGATTCCGATGCGGGCATTCAGCAGAGCACCAGGTCCTAAGGCTGGTCGAGATGGCAACGAAATCGTTCCAGACTCGGCGGGCCGTGGGAGCTGTGTTCATGGATGCCGCAAAGGCGTTCGACACTGTTTGGCATGACGGACTGATCTACAAGATGGTAGACCACGGATACTCAAAGGGGATGATCCAACTGGTGAAGTCCTACTTGAAGCACCGAAATTTCCGAATTAGGATCGGTTAAAACAACCTCGACGACGAGGACTGTGGAGGCAGGAGTACCGCAGGGAGCGGTTCTACCACCCCTGCTGTATCCAATCTACAGCTCAGACATCCCGAAGACTCCTCAAACGCAACTGTATGTGTATGCGGACGATACAGCATATGCGGCAGAAAGTACGAGACCCCGCATGGTTACGGAATATCTGCAACGAGCGACCACCAACCTAGAGGAATGGTGCATCAAGTGGAAGATCCGCCTCAACCCCGAGAAGACCGAAGCGGTACTGTTCCGAAGAAATCGAAGATTACCTCAGACCAAAATAAAGATGACGACCACCAGAATGGAGAGAGGCTGGAGAAGAGATGAAGAGGTTGAGGTCGACTGGAAAGACTCCAGCACATACCTTGGAGTCAAGATGGACCAGAAACTCACTTGGAAGAACCATGTCGAAGACCGGGTGCAGAAAGTGAAGATGGCACGCTCCAAACTAAGACCCTTAACGGGCAGAAGAAGCAAAGTGTCACTAAAGAATAAGACCATCATGATTCAGATGGTGCTGCTACAAATCATGACTTACGCAGCAGTAGCTTGGGGCTACGTTTCCAAAACGATGAAGAAGAGGCTCCAAGCTCAACAAAACATGGCACTCCGTGAAGCGGTGGACGCACCGTGGTATGTACCTAACAGAGTGCTATATGACGAACTACGACAGGTACCGGTCGTAATCCAGATGAGAGAGAGGGCCAGAAAGTTCTTTGAAAAGAAATGTGCTGATTGAAGCCGCCTTGGATTACGACCCAAGAACAATAAGGCGTCATAAAAGACCGAAAAGCCAGCTGCAACAAGAAGATATTTGGCCCTAGCAGCTGATCAGGCCAAAGAAAAGGGGAGAAGA